AGCTTTCTAGCTCTTCAACTAACATGATTTCTGGCATATCGGAAAATGCATTTTCTGATTTGCCACGCCCCTAGTGGGCGGATCCGGAAAATTTTAACATAAATCGGAGATGTAAACGAGTATGTGTTCCAAATTTCAAGCGTCTAGCTTCAATAGCACCCAACTCAATAAATGGCATTCATACGTACAGGCGGACGGACAAGACGGACATTGGACAAATCCAATATACTTATTTCACTTTCGTGAAATAGTATAAAAATCGTAGAGGTTAAATAGGCTTCATGACCACTACAAAGCTCTAGCTTTAGAGAGATTTAGTTATTAATATGTAAATATGTGAATATATGAATTGACCTCATTGGTGTTCAAAACCATCCGGTTATTGTTTATTGTTAATACACTTTCCTATTGTTTAGTAAAGACAGATTGCCAATAAAAAGAAAAAATGGTACAACCAGCAACCGATAAGTAAACGCTTAAACTTTTCAAATATCCCTTCATGTACGTACTATATATACATATGTATGTACATTAATACTTACAGATAGGCTATCATGAACAAAAAAAAATATTCCAAATGCAAATTGCACATTACAATTAGGTTGGATGTTAATTTATTGCTCCAAATATGTTCGCGTCATTAATGATCATATATGTCTTCAACGCTGACTTTCTAAGTTAACCTCAAGTTGCTAGCAGGATCCATTTTTACTTAACAGAAATTTCTTACGCATTGTTCATAATGCCGAGTCAACTAATTCAATATTGATAGTACATAAAGTATGGTATGTAAGCAAAATGTATTTTTGAGTTTTTAATGTAATTTTAACATGAACATGTATTTTTCTTTTCAATATCTTTTTGTTTATTCATAATACGCATTTAAGCATTAGGTTATTGATTTACTTTCTTGATGAATTCAGCTAATTACAGACATTAAAGTTATTTATTACTTTTGATTTTTGATTAAATTGTACATAAAAATCATAAGAGTACAATGTACGTATGCATATGAAATGTGGGAAATACATATGTGTAAACACAAGGAAAAATGTATTGCATTCATAAATGTATATTTAAATATATATAAACATAAATGTGTCGAATTTCAAATTAACATGAATTTATGGATTTATGGCAGATTCTAGTAATGCATTTATATAAACCAGAAAATATTCAAGCTTTTTCAAAAGCATCTTTAGTGTTAACGCATGGTCAAACATTAATGAATAAAATTTGACTGATCCTATGCACTTGTACTTTTGATTTTAACTATAGTATTAATTTCATTAACTTCTTATTTGGTATGCATATAAAAAAAATTCCAAATAATGCCACTTTCTGACCATACTAATAAGTTGTCAATTTTGGAAAACCCAAAGGGAGGATTTTTTTTTACAATTTTTATGACATTGACCGAAACTTTGTTGTCTGCATGATACAAAAATCTTTAATAATATACTGCTCTGATACAAGATCATAATTCTAAATAAACACATAATGGCGTTTTCTTTGCATTCAGCATACATGTTTATGAATTATGCATTTTTTTATGACTCTTATGGGACCCGATCTTAACAGTTTAACAAAGCGTAGCATTGTGTATGTATTGAAGTACAAGCTTTACCATTCCAGCAACATTAAAAAAATTAATAAAGTAGAAAATAAAGTGATGTTTTATTTCGTTTTCATCCCTACTATATGAATGGCTTTTAGTTTAATTGATTGCATGCAAAAAAAAATAGTTTACATTTTGGGCATAATTTAGAAGCTCATAATCAAACAATACGTAAACTACAAATCAACCTTCAAACCTTTACACTTGGAATACTAAGAAAAATTCTTAAATACACTTATCCTGTAACAATTGAAAAAGTTAATCTGCCCGTTATGAAGTTTGACAATTCATACACGTTGTTGCTACAGTGACTGTTGTACTTTAACGATCGTTAATTCTGTTAGTCTATATGTTAAGATTTCGTTAAACATTTATAAATTTTTTATAGATTTAAAGTTAATTTTTCCATTTATTGTTGTAGCTTATATGGCCGTCAATTAATTATGTAAATAGTTTTTGTTTTACTAATAAGTATGTTATTTAAATCATTCTTTTTTTGTTTGTATATAAATTAAGGACTTAAACGTTATAAGAAAAATGTTTTATAAAGTGTATTGTTTACCGATGTTGTTTTCATTACACACACACACACATATATATATATATATATATA